ACTGGAGAGATTCCACATGTAAACAGGAAGAGGAGGAGATACTTATGAAAGCAAGAAATGGCTTGACAAATAGGAGTGTGGGTTTTTAGAGCATAAAGGTACATATGCCAAGAACAATCACTGATCGGTCAGAGGTTGGCTGGGCTTGGTGGTCTCATAGTGTACATGTATCAACAGTCACCAGTGGCAGCTCCATCTTGAGAACTGGGAGTCACGATTCTGCTTAGGCAAATGCTTAATCCTAAAAACAGCTCAAAAGTCATGGGCAAGCAAGGACAGCCATTCTGTGGCACAGTGTGGCAATCAGACATAGTGCTGTATGTGGCAAGATACTGAGGCGTGATTGAAATTTCACTCCACGCACACGGCCAGGGGTTTATAAGTCGTGGGACCATTTGCTTGTGAAATCTGCACAGCATTAGGTCCTTTTGGAATGGAACTGTTTACCAGAGTGAAACATGCTTTTGGTAACTTGCAATTCCATGACACCCTACAGAAATAATTCTTCCAAAATAGATCCGAGTTGGCTGTTACCCTATCTTCCTGTCCTGACTGCTATTTAATGCTCTGTGTCAGCACACAAACACAGCTTCCTCTTGTGATCTGGAAGTTTGTTTTTGTAAAAAGTCCCTGATACAGTCATACTTCCTGTAATGATTGGATTTAATGCAACATCCTTAATCTTAAGATTTGATTGCAGATGAGAGAATAAAGTTAAATTACAGTGATTTTTTTTTAAATCCCTCCTTTGAGCTTTCTAATCACCTTCTTGGAAGCTTTTTACTTTTTCCATCATATTAAGAACATTTGCAATATAAGAATAAGAGTAGTTAAGAGCTAAGGGGTCACATTTCTTAGCTCAGAGTCAACAACTTCTGATTTTTTTTTTTAAGGAGATAGGTAACCTATAATCAATTGTGGTAGCTTCCTTAGAGTCTAATTTTTTTAAATTTTTAAATGTTTTATTTATTTTTGACAGACATAAAGCAAGTAGGGGAGAGGCAGAGAGAGAGGTAGACACAGAATTTGAAGTGGCTCCAGGCTCCAAGCTGTCAACACAGAACCCGATGCAGGGCTTGAAGCCACAGACAGTGAGACCATGACCTGAGCCGAAGTCGGATGCATAACCAACTAAGCCACCCAGACACCCACTTGGAGTCTATTTTTGAGTGGGTTCTACATTTACTTGAATATTTTTGAGGGGTGAAATTGGGTATCTTCAGGGCATGGGTGTGCCTGGATGCTAGACACGGTTTGGCCTTGAATGAAGATGAGACTGTGGTAAAGTACATACACCATGATGTAGTGGACGTGCTGAGAAAAACGCTTGGAGATGGACTTTGCTGTTGACTTTCCCATCTTTGACTTTGCACCTCACCGCCCCCCCCCCTCCCCCGGCCAATGCTCATCTAGAATCCATCCTAACCTAACAAGCCTGATTCTCTTGAAGGCGGTAGGGAACCGGGATTTCTGTCCACCATGTGGCCAAGGACTTTGAACCCATTACCTTTGGCCTCCTTGATAGAGAGCCTCAGAGAACATGCTGTTTTGCACTGCATGAAATGTCTCATAGACCCTCTGTGTTTTGCTGAAATTTACTTTCACTGATGGGGCAAGCCAGGAAAATCCCTTTCTGGAACACTCCCTTTCTTTATTATCTGCTGTATGAAGACTGCAGCTTCTGAGTGAAGGCTTCTTCTAAAGATGAGCATAGTTCTTCTGAAGATGAACATATGTGACTACTCTCTGCAGGACTGTCAGATTTAGTAAATAAACATACAAGACATCTGGTTAAATTTGAAATCTTCTGGGGCGCCTGGGTGGCTTAGTCGGTTAAGCGTCCGACTTTCACTTAGGTCATGATCTCACGGTTCGTGGGTTGGTTCGAGCCCCGCGTCGGGCTCTGTGCTGACAGCCAGCTCAGAGCCTGGAGCTTATTTCAGAGTCTGTATCTCCCTCTCTCTGACCCTCCCCTGCTCACTCTGTCTCTCTCTCTCTCTCCTAGAAATAAATAAAAATATTAAAAAAAAAAATTTGAAATCTTCTTCTAATTGTCTGTGCAATTTTGTAAATGTTTTGGGGGGAAAATGAGTACAGAACACTTAAAGCGTTTTATTTATTTATTTATTTATTTATTTATTTATTTAGAGAGAAAGAGAGAGCACGAGTGAGGGAGAGCAGACAGAGAGGGAGAGAGAGAATCCCAAGCATGTTTTGCACTGTCAGCGCAGAGCCCCATGTGGGGTTTGAGCTCACAAACTTTGAGATCATGACCTCAGTGGAAATCAACAGTTGGACGCTTAACTGACTGAGCCACTCAGGTGCCCCTGAACACTTAGAACATCTTAATAAAGTCCGTACAGGATGCAGGTCAAAAAAAATAATTAAATTCAAGACATGTCCTAAAGACCGATCATGCCTGGCATTCCTCACTCTGATATTATTATTAATACTTAGAATTCTACAGCCTTTACCTATCTATCCACTATCTTTGGCTTTTGTACTCTTATATCAATTAAGTCCATTGACTTCCACAATCAATTATTGTAATTTAATTGAGAATTAACTGTCAACTACAATTATCAGCTATTCCTTGGTCTTCTATTTTTTTAAGTTTTATTTATTTATTTTGAGAGAGACAGAGAGAGTGTGAGTGGGGGGCGGGGAGAGAGAGAGGGAGAGAGAGTCCTAAGCAGGCTCCGCACTGCCAGCACAGAGCCCGATACAGGGCTTGAACTCATGAAACCATGAGATCATGACCTGAGCTGAAACTGAGAGTCAGATGCTTAACCGACTGAGCCACCCAGGCACCCTGGTGTTCTGTTTCTTATACATCAGCAAATGCCAACTGAACAGTAAAAATTCTTGTTCCCAAATTTTGGCCATCTAAATGTTCACAAATTACTAATTTGAATCAATTATTTTTTAAGCATAATTTTTAGTTTTGAGAGAGAGACAGGGCATGAGTGGGGGTGTGGATGAGGGAGAGGGAGACAGAATCCAAAGCAGGCTCCAGGCTCTGAGCTGTCAGCACAGAACCTGATGTGGGGCTTGAACCCGTGAAACACAAGATCATGACCTGAGCCAAAGTCGGATGCTCAACTGACTGAGCCACCCAGGTGCCCCCTGAATCAATTCTTTTTAACCCACAGAATAATTTGACTTGATAGAGTAGATAGCAAAGTTGAAAAACAGCAAGGAACACACGGTAAGTGAGAGGAAGCTGAGCTCAGCAGAACTGACAGGGGAAGAAGATGAAGTAAAGTGGCTAACACCTCATTCCTGCCTTCAGTTTCTTTTTCAGTAAGTATTTACTGGAAAGCTTCAGGAAAAAGTTTGACTTAATTCATCAGTGCTTCTTCATGGCTAGGAAAATTGCTGTCCACAGGCCTAAGTTGGAGTGGGCAACCCATTCTGATTAAGATAAACTGAAGTGCACAGAGGGTTAAATGCAGGTAATCAATGAAGAGTGAGATGTTAAACTTTAGTCTTTCAAGTGTGTCTTCCTAGAAGAAGAAAGCTAAGTGCATCTTGGCTCTATCCAGAGTCAAATGCTGGAATTCAAGTGCACACCACAGAACATGGAAATCAAGCCTTAAAATGCTAACATTTCATTTTTAAAAACACCATCCCAGAAAGCTTTAATAAAATAACCTGCATTCCGAGTGTGTGTTTCAAATGTTTAACAGGCAAAGAAAAAAAGTCTAGCAAGAATGGAAACAAAGATTGAGACACTGGAAGCATTTGTTATGCTACTTGGTCAATGTCGACACTTTGACCACAGTGACAAAGTACAGAACCAAGCCCAAGGATTAGGATGGTCCTTGACTGAGCTACCAATGCAAAGACCTAGGGTCTTCTATGATTTTCCTCTCTCTTTCCTACTTTCACCAGATGATATAAGTATTGAGGATCCAGGCAAGGACAAAAGAATAATACAGGTATAGTAGTGCTACTTTTTAAATATTTCTTAATATACATTTAGTGGTATCAAAATCACCATCAATTAAAATTGAAAAATTAATTTAAAGAAAAATCAAACGAATCATCGTTTAAATTCATCTCAATATCTGATCCTCTTATTCATGGTGTTTTTCAGTTTTAGCCCATTATTTTAGATTTCTGGAGTCTCATCTGGTGCTGTAATTTCCCCTTGAGTGGGAAGGGGAGTCAATGTGTGTCTCTACTTTGACTCAAAAGGTAGTTCCTGAGGAGGGTCAATGAGTGAATCTTGGCTATGCTGTTGAGACCGTTGGTACCAGGTACTTTCCCTGTACAATGTATTTTCTTACTGAAGTAAGACACAGCTTGTAGACTAAATTGATTTGCTGCTATTGACTTCTGGTTTTCCAAATGGAACATGACATTTTTAAATGGTCTCACTGAGAAGCCTGATACATTGGAAATGTTTCAAAATGCAGAAGGCGTTTTGGGTCAGGAATGTTCCATTAGTTCAATTACTTCTTAGTTGGGTGTGGAGCATGAATCTGTTTCAGTCAAAAGACTGTCCAGATATAATCAAATAAGTTTGCCACCTACATCTTTGGTAAGTTTGTTAACACCAGAGCATTGTGCACCAAGTAATAATAATAAGTGTGCCTGAGAAATGCTAAGTTTCAAGCCAGATGCAAGTATAGAACTATTTACAAGATATCATATTACTGTATGATTTATCGTCTTATACAAGTATCGGCTTGTAAGATACTGCTTATTTGTCCTGCGAGTAGTGCCAAGGATCAGATGACCAAGTCTTCCAGATTTGGCTGAAATAGATAAACTCAGTGAACACACAAAAGATTTCTCCATCTCATGCTACATCAGTGTACCAAATACTATGTAGATATGCAAGATTCCTTATCTTGATCACATTTAAAGTAGCATTGATGTTAATACCTTAATAGTGCAACAGAAAACCTGTAAACATGTCTGTGGCATTATTTTCCTATTGATTACACCACAATATACAATTTAAAAAAACATATAACAAGTAAAAGGGCGAATGTCTAACTAAACTAACGTGATTTAAGAGAAGAAAAGATCTAAAACAATCTGCCATTAAATTATCAACAGAAAGAGAAAAAAGATTCCTGAACAATAAAAGAAAAAGCCTCTTGTGCATTGAGCTTGTGCTTTAAACCACCTCTACCACTAACTTTACCCCCATTATTCTTCCATCTGCATTAGATGTTCAGTCCCAGGTGAGGGGTATGAGCCACATCTTCTCTTCCATGGAAGGACATTTGAAAATGTGGTAGCACAAAGGCAAGGCCGATTTTGCTGAGAACCATATCGTCATTTCACTGATAACCTGAACCCAGATTATTTTCCCTTGTTCCTCTGAGCCCCAGTGTCCCCATTTTTATAGAATAAGCCATATATGAGCACTTCAGTCGAGGATTTGCTCTCTTAATTGCAAACATCTTTCATTGATCATTTCCACAATTATGCTTGAAAAGCCAGGATGTGCATGTGTGTGTGTGTGTGTGTGTGCATCCGGTGTGTGTACACATATGTGAGCTCACGTGTATGTCTATGCAGTGCCTACCCACGTATAGTCACATTCCTCTTGAGGGAATACACAAATCGACCCCGGTTTGAATGAAATGAGAATTCACCTGTGGCACGTTTAGCTGGTCCTGGCCCATGTATATTCTTTGCCCCAAAGAAATGTGGTTCATGGCCCCTAGGTTCTGCCAAGAGCAAAATGTTACCTCCGTACGACTCAGTTGCATGAGGTTTATTTAAATATTGGGGACATTCTTTACATGTTATCAGATGATCAAAAGTTTGTTCATGCTTCAAGGGGTCATCTGTATGTGAATTCATTATCCTCACCCCTTTTGACCCTTGTGACCCCATCCAACCTTGTGGAGTTCAACACCTGAGCAAGTTTCCGAGTGTAATGCAGCTTCGTTTTTCTTTTGTGCTGATTAGAGTCAACTGCTTAGTGTAAGACAGCTGTTAATCTCAAGTAGTTTTTTCTATCTTGGAATATCAGTGGCAGTTCTTTTGCAGACGAGGAGGGAGATGACTGACACGAATATTGGCCCATAATAATAAGCTGAAGAAAGAAGGACAGGCCTGGGGGCCATATGGATTTGGGGCCAACAGGGTCCCACAGCTTCTGAAAGTTCCCGAGAAAACTTTGAGAGTGGACAGTTTTCAGACTTTTATTTGTATACAAATCACTTGTTAAGGTACAGCTTCTGATTCTCTAAGTCTGGGTGGGACTTGAGCATCTAGAACGCTAATAAGCTCCCAGATGGTGCTGATGCTGTTGGTTTTGAATAGAAAATAGCAGCCTATTCCAACCAAAAAATTAATATGAACAATAGCGTCAACTCCATTTGTATGTTTTCGCAACTGTTAACTCCTGGCTTGATCAATTTCACTCCATACAATTCAATCCAATGAAGAAAGGTAGAAATGGAATTATTATTTTTATGAGTACAGAGTCCCTTCGCCCCTTTTTATGTGTTACCAGATAACTTCCATTATATATAACATTTTCTCTTCTGGAAAAAAAGGTGTTTTAAAGCAATGGCATAAAGGAATATAGAAACACATTTCAACTCTGGGACATAACGTCTTTGTCATTGTTTTGAATAAATATCTTATATTATAGCCGATAACCGGATAGGAATGCAATTCCTTTCAATACCAGCATTGCTAAATGTCTGTCCACCAGGCAGGACATCATTCCAATTGCCCTATACCAAGTTTTTGGAAATGTAGCCCCATTTTAGAAAATACAGATTTTGAGAGTTTGCTCTAGACCAAGCATTAAAAAAGGAACTTCTCAAATGTGGAAATGCTTGCTTAGGCACCAGACCCAAGGGAGTGGGGATGATTGTGTATGCGTGTGCAGTTTTTTAGAATGAATCCACACCTTTGCATTTTCATGATGACCTTTGCATCCAAAGGGAGCTGAAATGCGGAAACAGCTCTCAGAGTTCAACCCGGGGCAATCACTGCCATCAGACGTTGCTCTGTTGTAACAAAAGAGTTCTCAGTTCCCTTTCCCTCTGTTCCTCCTGCCTGTACTTCTCCTCAAGTTTCTGCTTCTCAGAATCCGCGCAGTAAAAGGTACAATCTGGGCTCTTTCGGATCTGTTCAAACTGACTGAAATCAGCCACGTACTTTCCGTTCTTTGAGAGAGAAACTACAGGCACAAATTCAAAGCCCCAGTAGATCTCCTCTGGGATGTAAGATGTGCGGCTCTGGCAGACGGCGCTGGTGGATTCCACGGTGGCATTGAGGAGGACGACGAGTTCAAACTCCTTTTCCTTCAAGTTTTGGGGTGTGAGGTCTCTCAGGGGGCTTGTCTCATCCAGCACATGGTAGAATGTCATGGGCAAAATGAGGAATGGGCTCTCTGAAGAGGAATCCACGTGGAATTTGACGGTGGCTTGGTTGAGCAGGATCCGCTCCCCCTCCTTGGTGACATGGGTCTGCAGGAGCTTGCCAGAGAGCTGGCATTGGATCAGGAGGCTCTTCCTCATGTTGGCCACCTGGATCACCAAACACAGCTTCCCGTTCTGCTTGGTGATGACCGCGCAGTGGCTGAACTTGATGGTCTCCGCCCGCTTCTTGGGTCTGGCGATCTTGGCCAGGAAGGTGCCTGTGATGAAGATCTCAATCAAGGTTGTGATGACCAGCTGAGCAACCAGCAGGAAGATGGCATGAGGGCATTCCTCCGTGATGGAACGGACTCCATAGCCAATGGTTGTCTGGGATTCCAGGGAAAAGAGAAACGCCCCAGTGAGAGAGTCCACTTTCATGATGCAGGGGGTGTGATTCGAAGCATCCTCACTCGGCTCTAAGTCCCCATGAATGAACGCAATGGCATAGTAGATCACGCCAAAAAGGAACCACGTCATCACAAACGTGGCGGCAAACAGGGTGAGCTTGTATCTCCACTTCATGTCGATGACGGTGGTCCACAAGTCTTGAAGGTAGAGTAAGTATATGCCGTCCACTTTGTCAAGCCTCACATTGCTGTGCCCGCTCTTAGACATGACTCGGGGTCGGTTGGTCTTGAGTCCAGCTCCTGAAGGGCGCTTCACCAGGGGAGCACTGGACATGCTGAGATGAATGGCATCCATTGTCAGGCTCTTGGGACCACCTAAGGAAATGACGAAGAAAGATGTTCCGTTACTGTCACATGTGGTAGGACACCCAGAAAGCAAAAATAAGATAATCGGGTGAAATACAGAGGAACGTACACAGACGTATATAAGAAAGGAGAATTTGGAAGGCAAGGCTAGTCTACAAGTGCTTGAAGAAGGCAGTGAGTGCAGTGAGGAGTATGGAGATCAGTAAACCTGGGCTAAATGCTGATTCTCCAGTTCATTTGCTGTGTGTCCTGGGGCAAGCTATTTAACCTCTCTGGATCTCAGCTCCTGAATCTGTAAAATGGGAACACAATCTACTTCTCAGAGTTTTGGTGATGGTTACATGAGATAATGGCCAGAAAGTTTGCCAAAACAAAGCCTCACCCTCAAAAGTGATGCTACTCTTCTCATTGTGAAATCACACACACATGCATCTACCCCACAGAGATTATGAATATTTATGTATACTCAATTATCGCAGATTTCCAATTCTAGAAAATTTAAAAATACATTGACTGAGCATAGAGTCAGTACCAACTAAGATGTACCATCTATAAGATAGTTTTGATGCCACAATGGAGAATATGAATACATATTTTTAAAACATGGGTAATATTAATAAACTTTTTAAAAACTTATTCTTTCGTGTGGCATTCTTTACAACAGAAATTCATTCCCCCCCCCCAATTCAGTGAATAATTTAGAATCTATTGCCTCTCCTACTTCTTGATTATATCAGAAGGGATTAAGCTATCAAACAATCAACAACAAACACATAGTGAATAATTACGCTTTCTTAATAGCTTGGTTGCTATGCTGGTTATTCCTAGGAAAATGCCATAAAATCCCACATTAGATATGATTTAAGTATGGCACAAAACTTCTGCATCACTCCTTTAGAATTAAGTAGAGCCATCATAGGAATCTCTTTTCAAGAGCTAAGGAACAAGTAAGCAAGGACAGGCATCCAACATCGTGGCAGAATAGACCCACCTAGAAGCATCAGTCTCCCACGCTAAGTCCCAGGAACGCTCCCCTCTGCCTCAACAGACAGGAACAGGCGGGGTGTGAGGCCACGCAGCATCTTATACCACCTGCCTGGTGACTGAAGGAAATCACCCCTACATTCCTTGAAAAAGATCATGTGAGGGTGTACAGGAGAACTCTACCTGGTTGGCATGGGTTTTCCCACCTCATCGGTATTTTAAGGATAAAGGAAACCCATCCCTCCCCCTTAAAAAGGAACTGGATACAGCGGTCTGTGATTCATGCAATAATCTTTGCTGTTAGAGCAACATCATCTCAATAGAAGTTTTGGAAGTAACTTCTGGGCAAACCCCTTCGAAGACACTGAAACCACCCATTAGAGACTACTGCTTGTTGAGCGTACAGTAAGTTGTTGCACTTTTTAATTTTCCTGTTATATTAAGAGTGTGTCATTTACTGAATGGCCCTTGAAATGGTTGTTGTTTTTTTCCTGGAAAGGAAACTTACCGTTTCATTTTCATTGCAAAGGAGGGCCCTACGCTATTCAGAATTTATTTTTCTTGTTGAAGCCTCTTCCATTCATTTGGAGCTCGATTTAAGAGAAAAATACAGGATGGGCTTCACTTTATCAGCCTCCCACACCCACTCCAGGAGCATTTCCCAGTAACTGAGAGGAAAGTGACCACAACAAAAGGTTGGAAACAAGATGCCAAGCTGCTGTGCCCGAAGACAGAGCCACGCTTTGAACCTGAGCGCTGCCAGAGCTGGAGGCAGTTTATGTGCAAGTAGGCGCATGCACTCCGTGCTCTTTAAAAAGAGAGAGACAGAGAGAAACTGCTAGGGGAAAGTGCATGCCATTCAATCCACTGCAATAAAAACAGAGGCTTAAGTTTTCAAGAGTGAGTGACAGGCGAGGGGCCTGCGGGCAGGAGCGAAGCTCCACGCTCAGACGTCGGCCGGGTTCTGGAGACGTTGGCCCTGTGTACATGCAAGCAGGGCCATGAAGCTTCTGTTTTAACCTCTCTTTAAGAGGGGCAATGGGCAAGGCTTGGGATGAGTTGGATCTTTTTCCTCTTTCTGCAGAAAGCTCCCTTTGTTGCATCTCTACACATCTAGCGTTGGAGGTGATAACACCAATAGCTATCTGAGATCTGTGCTCTTAAGAGGAAAAACATGGCCGACAGCATCTGGGGGAGAGGGGGTCTTGGGCTCAGCCTCTCTCCGTGGAAGAGTCACTGGAGGACCGCACTCATGGGGGAAACACATTTTCCCTCCCTCTCAACACCCCGTGCCCCTCTGATTGTTTACTACCTGGTCACTCCCTCAGCAGGTCAGAAGGTTTCTTCTTCAAAGCAGGTGGGATGTCTTCGCTCCCCTTCACCCACCTGGCTACCATGGGATGCTGCTTCTGCCTGAAAGAAAGAGGGACGCGTGGCATTCACAGGTGTTTACAAAGAGACTGACCCTTAATGATTCCCCCCAGGGCTAGGGCCCTAGCGCTCACCTTCCAATCCCTGGTAATCTGGCACGGTGACCAGAATAGACCAAAGGCTCAAGGAGTGGTTTAAGAATTAAATTGAAGCCCCAACCACAGCCCCTTCTATAGAATTCCCACCCTCTGGAGGGAGCTCAATAGTAAAACACCCTGAAAAGAGTGAGTTAACTCACCCCCATTGAGGCCCACACTCAACTGACCAGCAAACAGGGAGGCAGGAAGGGGAAGTGCAGAGGAAGTAAACACTGAGCATTGGAAGGGAAGAGTCTAGAATATTTTTACCGCCTGTGGAAATGCATTATTACTGTTGAGTCACAGAACATCAGAGCTGAAAAGACTGTCAAGCCCAAGGCATCTGACACACATTTCTCAAACGAGGACACACAGACCTGGGAGGTCAGAGTGACTGGTCTTCATAACACAGATGGCTCAGAGAAAAAACAAAGTCCAAAGTCTTTAAAAGCTAGATCAGAGCTCTTGTCAGCACACCACGAATGCCTTTTCAACCTCCAAAGTTTAATATAACCTGTTCGACACTCTGAAGGCTCTTTTGCAGTCTTCTTTTCTAGATAGCTTCTTCCTACGGTACGTATCTGTGGATCTCCCCACATTTCTGTCTGTCTTACACGCAGGGGCATCCATCCCCCTCCCACTTCCTTTCTGATCCACCAGCTACTATAAATAGTTAGAATACGTACTCTGTCCTCACGTCGGTAGCCCCAGTTATCAACCTGTATAGCCTCTTGCACACTCGGTTCTCACAGTGTATTTACGGTGTTTGGCAAACTGTCTTTTTATCACCACCTCTATTATCACCTGTAACCATCACCTGTGAAGGTCCCGAGTCTCCTTCTCTGCCCTCATCAATCTGCCCCCATCAATCTGACCCGTGTGCTTTACCATTCACACTTCATCACGTGCGCCGAATTTACAGTATTGTATTCTGTAGCAGGCTTCCTTCTCGAAATTGACTTCATTGTCTATACACACACCCATTTCACATAATTTTATGTCATGGCCTTAGATTTTTCCCCCTACCAATTCTGCAATCTAACTGGCTTCCCTCATAAAATGTTAAGAAAATAATAGCCGTTTCCAAAAGCTAAGGATGGAAAGAAGGATACAAGATATTCTCCCCTAACTTCTCCTCTCCTCATTCCACAAATAGGCAATATTCCATACAAACCGTTAGAGTCTTCTTTAGTCTCTGAAAATTGTATCTATTTCTCCAGTTTTCATTATCTTGTTCCAACAATTGGTTGGGAATGTAATCTTAGAAGGGTAATATCTTTACTAAAGTGTAGTCCTTGAAACTACTGAATGGAGAGGTCCACATTCCTCTCTACTTCAAGCCAATAACACACTCATGGAGTGAAGTCATTTATTGCCAATGGTGTGTAGCATTTATTTTCTGGAGATAAAGAAAAGAAAAACACATTTTTGAGACAGAACGAAGCAGCAAGTACATTGACAGAAAGGTATTTAGTTATGTGACAAACTGCACTTCCAGTCTTAGGGACAAAACAATAAGAATGGCAAAAAATAAAGGGAGTTCCTATCATGTCCTCTGAGAGAAAATGCTATCAAAGAAAGAGGGTCTTATAAGAATGGATGATCAAAGAAATCAACCACAGTAAGCTGGAACACTCTATTCTATCAGAGAGAAGTCAGTCTATAAATGACCAGAAAGCCACTGACCAAGTAGAAGAAATAGGTATACAAATAATAAGCATGAACAGAGTCAGAATAGAGTCATAAGTGGTCTAATGTGGGAATGATCCAGAGAAATAATAATAATGGCAATGATAAAATATTCAGATCAATTATAATCATCATCATCAACACAGATAACAGTACAATGCCACATGCCAGCCATTATTCCCAGTGCTTTCCATGCATGTACTTAGTCAACCCTCACCCCAAGCCCACGAGGCAGGCATCATCATTATTTGTATGAGGAGGAAACTGAGACACAAAGAGGTAAAGTGACTCACCCAGCTTCCCAACAGCTGGCACGTGGCAGTAGTGCCCCTGTGAAGCTCCCGTGCCTACCCTCTCTGCCACCTTGACCAAGGTCCTCCAGCTTTAGCTGCATCAGAGTCCCCTGGAAGGGTCAGAGTTTCCAATTTCAGTAGCTTTGGGATGGAGCCTAAGAATGTGTGCATCCAACAGTCTCCCAGGTGATGCTGGGAAACACACAGAAACACACAGTTGAAAACGACCACACTATGATATACAACATACCATAGTAGAATGTGGATATGTGGAATATATCATGTGGAATGATAGCAACAGCTTTCCCCTCTTAATGAAGACCCTAATCCCTTCACTTTCCCTGAGCATTTCCCTGTTGCACACAGGCACTGAGAACATCTGGTTGTTAGTTTTCAGAAATGTCTAATCTCTACCATCCTCACAGATGATTGTCAACTACCTAGTGGGCTGGTGATAAGTACTGATATTTTAAAGCATGAAAGAATGATCCCCACTACCACGCCACTACCACGTGGTGCAAAACTGATTCCTTCTAAAACGTTAGCACTCTGTTGAGTCAAATTTTGGGAGTTTTCAATTTGTCCGTCCTGACGAAAACTTCATTCTGTATTCCTTGGTGTGCAGAAAAGTAACTGATTTTCGCCCACAGAAAAATAGCTAATAACCAAATAGGGAGGCAGCAGAGATCCTTCAACCAAAACTCAAGTGGTGATATTCCACATACCGTCAGAGGGAATGCAATCCAAATCAAACCAGAACTTTGGATTTCCAGACGAAAATTGCAATTTGAGGGGATCTGACTTGAAGTTCTATCAAAACAGTTTCCTGTTTATGAGAAAAGTTGCTTTAAAAGCTTTCTTGGATATCAAATATTTCTAACAAAACATTTTTTGGATGATCTGTCTCTCGACTATGAGTCCAACATACCTGGATTAAATTTCACTTTAAGGAACCACGGTTTGAGCTAGTAAGTAGAAAAAGAAATGCTCGACAAGAATGTACTTGGGGTTCACTGAACTCAAAAGGTTTAAAAATAATTGAAAATAAAATCAATGAGGCTTGGCTATCCTCTCTTTGGATCCTGTGACTGTGGGCACACAGATTCATGTGCTGGGACCTTTGGCCTCCTGCCATATTCTTCCCTGCTCTTCAAAGCAGCCTGGGACTCGCTTCAGTGGTTCGTCTGACTGTTCTTAATGCAGTTCTCAACTCCATCCATGTCAGCTGAGGACACAGATGACTTTTCCCAGGTAGCCTCAGAAATGGACATGTCTACCAAAAAAAAAAAAAGGTGGATGAAGTTGACTCTCAGCAGATTCCAAAGAGGGGCTCTTTCATTCTTATCTGCCGGGAAAATGACTCTTTTCTTCTGCAAACCCATTTCCCCCCCCCCAGGCCTTTGAGAACTGAGGATGGCTGGTAGGAATAGAAGCTTCTGGAAAGCCATGGAATTGGTTTCTCTTCTCCATAAGAATCTTGGGAAGCAGCAGTTGAGATGATGTCAGATTTGCACCTGAGTTTCCTCTGTCTTGCTCTATGTTTTGAAGATAAGAACTTGGATTCTAATCGACAAAGCTGTGGCAACTGTTGGTTGTTGTAGCTGATTGTGGCTTCCAGTTATTTGCTGTCCCTTTCTGTGAGGTCCATCTAGAAAGAATCCTTCCCCGGTCTGTCCCTGAGGGTAGGGAATGAAGAATCTGTTTCCATCCTTTAGTGTCAGATGTGGTCATGTGACTGTGTTAGCCAATGGAGTGTGAGCCTCAGTGACTGCTGCCTGGCAAGGTCTCGTGTCCAGATTGGGCTGCTCCTTCTGGAGAATGGGAGAAGGGAGATACCAGCAGCCAAGCTAAAGCTGAGCCAAAGCTAATTTGCAACATGGGTGAGAAACTCTTATACCTTAAGCCACTGGGTTCTTAGAACTGATTGTTGCTGAAGCAAAGTCTAGTGGAAGCCTGACCACACGGACACACTTCCTGTAAGTTACTGGATTTTAGTATGATAGGAGAAGACAGGATGCAGGGGGCAGGGAGGGAAAAATTAGGACCTGAGGTCCCAGGTGGGGAAAAACACCTACTCTGGAACAATGCTGGGAGTGTCTAACCACAGCAAACTCCCTTAGGTGTAAGGTTCCTGTAAGGAATGTAACAGACTCCACCTACTCCCCCTCGGGTTTCCCTCAGGAATTTGACAAAAGACCCCAGTATGGCCATAGACCACCCCTCATACAATTAAAACCAATCAGGGATGGACCATCCAGGACCTAGAGCCAATGAGGAATGCACAACCCCTCACCTAGAGCTATCAAGCCAATATGGGTAGAACTTGAGAAGGAACAAGGAGGAAGGGGTGGGGGAGGGCTGACCAGAACCTTCCAAAACAAGGACCCTCACCTATAGTCCTCAGGCATTCACTTTTGAATGTCCCCTCTCTGTAAAGAGAGCTTTCCTACCATTCTTCCTTTCTAATCTTATACTCTAACAAATTTTTGCCTGTTGCTCATTTTGGGCCCACCTCTTCTTTCTGCAAAGTGACAAAACAAATCCCACATATTGTGGTAAAAAATCCTGGAACGTTAGGATTATATGCCTGACCTAAAAGATACTGTATTTAAAGGAAATATATAAAGTCTTAGAACACTTCTACTGTAAACTCTGAATGTTGGTCTATGAATAAATACTCAGTAGAGAAAGAAACCCAGATATAACAAGATTCCAGTAGGAAGAAAGATTCATCTGACCTATAAGGACAATTAGGAAAGGTGAATAAATTCTCATTAAATTGCTTCTAAATTTTTTTAATGTTTTTTTAATTTATTTCTAGGAGAGAGAGAGAGAGACAGCGTGAGCAGGGGAGGATCAGAGAGAGAGGGAGTCACAGACTCTGAAACAGCCTCCAGGCTCTGAGCTGGCAGTCAGCACAGAG